GGCCATGAGAGGCAATATATGAAGACAGTGATTCGTCATCAGACACAGATGAGGACAAGCTAGTGGTTGGGAGTTTTGACAGTGATGAGAAGTAGTATGAATTTTATGATTAATAAAACTTGAGTTCAATAACTTTATGTAATACATTTTTTTTCAAATTTCGGGCCCCAAAATTAAGGTGCGTCTTATACATGGGAGCACATCTTATACATGGGGAAATACGGTAGGTTCCAGAGCTGCCTCTCTGTAGTATAGTGATTTGCTGGATCTCTTTACTTTTTTATTAGCAATCAGTCAGACATAACTGAGAACTCCTACCATTTTAAAGGAAATGTCGGGGCGGCTGGTTAGCTCAGGTGGTTAGAGTGCAGGCTCATAACACCAAGGTTGCCGGTTCAATCCCCGACATGGGCCACAGAGCTGCACCCTCCACAACTAGATTGAAACAACTACTTGACTTGGAGCTGATGGATCCTGAAAAAACACTGTTCCCCAATAAAAATTTCTAAAAGTAAATAAAAAAAATAAAGGAAATGTCACTGGAATGTTCTTTAAAGGACCAAATTTTGTTTTTGACAGTAGTAAGAAATGAAGACTCTCATAACTGGAATGAATTAATGATTAATTAAATGCATTAAAAATATCTGATGATGGAGCTTTAAGTGGTTTGACTGCACTGATGATAAGCCAGCCCCTGATCTGATTGGCCCTCAGGTTTCCGGATGATGATTTTTTACACCCACCCTCCCTCCCCCCGCCACACACACATCTCTGCAAAAACAAAACCAAACAAAACCCTGAAGCATAGCAAAACTACAAGAGACGTTTTTTCTTTCTACTGGAAGTCATACAAAATGAGTTGCTGTAATCTGATGCATTTCACTGTAACATTTTCATTGCATTTATAACAAGTTAGACTGAGCAGATTTGCTGAGTGGCCTTTTCCTTTAAGTGGAACAGAAGGGGACATCCTTCCAGGTCCCTGAGGAGGACCCGTGGCGGCTGGCATGGCCCTGTGCAGCCACTGCAGCAGACCGCCCGCCCGCTGGCCCCCAGTTCCAGTGGCACATAAGCGCCTTTGCAGCCGAGATTACGGCAATTCACAGGGAGTCACACAGCCTAATCCCCCAGGGCGGGCGCCAGCACAGGTGCAGGAGGGCTGCCCCACTTTCCTGGGACAAGCCAGCACTGGGGAGACCCTGGGGAGTCTTGGGCAAGGGCAGAGCCCCTCAGTAGCTGGCAAACACTTCTGCAATCCTGCAGAAGTGTCACCTTCCTGGAGGACCAGCCTTGAAGGCAAAATGACCTGATATCAAGAGACACCTCTGAAAACTCCCCATCCTCCTTAACGCTGTCATAGGAGGTGGGGTGTGGGGACCATGGCTCCCTGCACAGACATCTTACTCATGGACATGCAGTAGTAAATGGAAGTGGCTGCAGGGAACACCCACACCCAGGGGACCTAAGGGCACAGATCCAAGCGAAACATGACGGTCATTTAGCTCGGTCACACACCTTGACAAATGATGTGTGTCCCAAGCCTGTTAGAGACAGAGATGTGAATTGGCCATATCCCCTGCAGCGGTTGTCTGCGTGGCACAGAAAGTACACGAGGCTCGATGGTTTCATGGCAGGATGTGGTCAGAGGACTGGGCAGGAAGAAGGCGCAGACGCTTTGCCTACGGAGACCAAGAACTTGATCAGCTGGGCTGGCGGTGCCTGGGAGACAGGAAAGCCGGTCTGAGGGCTACTTCGCCCTGGACACGGAAGGGCCCCGCAGTACCCTGCCCCCTTCTGTGCTCAGCACTGGAGAGGGAGACCAGGTCCCACTGCCAGTGTCTGACTACTCCAAAGCCCAGACGGTCACACGACCTGTCCTTCTGGACCCATGGCCCTGTCTCCAAACACGACATGGTCCACATGCACGCTGTGTCATGCTGGCTCAGAATGACAGTGTTGGGAAGTGACCCCACCCGCCAGAAGTGGGTGCAGGTCAGCGTCTGTCCCTTGAGACAACTTTCCTATTCCCACTTGGGGCAGGAGTCCGGCACAGGCAACCACGACACTCGGAAGCCCACCAAGCCCTGCCCTGCCCTCCAAGCACACATCCTCCAAGACGTCAAGGAACCAGGTCCACTCTGTCCCGCAGCCAGAGGCTGGCAAAGGGTTCCCTCTCATTGGCTGAGTCTGGAAAATGCCACCACTGCTGGTCTATGCAACTCACACCCCTCCCTCCAGGACATGGACCTGGTGGCCTGGGAGAGACCGAGGGGGGAGCGAGGCTCCATTCCACACCTGTGCCTTGTGACACCCTCTGTGCCTTGTGACCCCTTCCGCCTCTCCTCTCGACCATCGTCATATATTAATTTTTAAATGTTAACAGGTGTTATCTGGTTTGTGGAGTTATGGGCCATTTCATTTTAATACTTTTCTGTATTTGAAGTTAAGTAATGCATGCTAAGAAAAAGTATAAAGTCATCAATGAAACAAAGAGGTAGAACTAGAAAGTGTTCCAAGTTTAAAGGAAGAAGGAATTATTTCCGTGTCATGAGTGTGGGGGCCCCGGGGTCACAGACCACGCAGTGGTGACCTAGGTGGGCAGGCCGGACAGAGGGCCTTCCGGTGGGAGGAGTGCACAGGTGGGGACAATGGGACCGAGGCCTGTCCTCAAGGGGCTCCACTGAGGGAGACAGCATCACAGGACCATAGAATTCAGTCCAACTGTCGCATCTACATGGGAAGGGTCTGGGATGACAGAATGGACAGTGGGGGAGCTGCGGCTGGTTGCTGGAGGCTGAGTCCAGCTGGCCAGAGGGATGGTGTGGTGAGAGAGCACCAGACACAGGCCCAAGCAGGAGAGAGACTGACGTCCCCACAATCTCGGTGCCCAGTTTGGCTGTAGGAGGTTCCAGAGGAGGGGAACTACAGTCCATTCTCTAGGAGGAGGATACTGCAGCTGCCAATCTGTGGGGGTGCTTTAGGAAGAGGGGCCCTGGCCGCTGGACCTGGAGTGGCCGGGAGGCCAGTGGGCACAGAGTCCTGGGGTGGCACTACTGGGGGACGGCACCCCCACAGGCATCAACACTGACATCAGAAAGAGGAACAGACTTGAGCGAGAATGGGAGGACGTGAGGAAATGGTGAGTCTTAACAAAGTGTCACCAAGATGCTGGAAGGACACTCAAGCTCTAGAAAGCCATCACTCACACCTCGTCCAAAATACCTGTGGTTCGCGTTTATGATACAGAGAACTTAGTCATCTGATGTATAACGATGCTCTTCCTTCCCGAAGAATAAAAAGGTTTGTGCTGTTTTTCCAAGGAAAAACGCAACACTCCCACAAAGTAAATGGCAATTAGGCTGAATGACAGCAATTCCTCCTGTGGGTACAATGTCATTATGCTGGGTCTTCACGGTCATTACACAGTAAGTACCTGTGCTGGGAGTGCAATTCGCATCCACAAAGCTCGCTACCTCGGCATCACAGACCTCGCTTGTTTTGACTCCTGGATTCTATGGCAATTTTACACAACTTCTCCTAAAACCCAAGAGCATTCACGACACAGCATCCTATGGGCATTTGTTACAGGCAGTTCTAACAGGCCCAGGGGACCCACTGAGGGGCCGGGAAGGTACATTTGTACCAAGGAGCCCGAGGGGGCTTGGACCTGGTTTGAAGACCCTCATTCTAGAGAACACAGATTCAGCAAGCTGAAAAGGAATAAACTAGGATGAGATCATTCTAGAAACAAACAGAGGAAGAGGCACTTGAAAGTTGGTTTCATTTCACTCCCAAACTGCAGTCCACATCAATACCCCCCGCAAATAACTTGAAAAACTTGATGAATCCATGTTTAAGTTTTTTACTCTCCAAATGTAATACAATTCTTCAGCTAAAACAGAAGTAATGAGACAAAATGGTTCTGAAAAGTACAATAGAAAAATACTGTTCACTGGTTTATTTTTTCCGAATGAGCAACAGGCTATTTACAAATAAGCAGGTCTCCAATGATGTATATTAAAATGGCAAGTCTAGGACTTTGAAATCTAAATGAAAAACAAATTTATTAAGGCACATTTGATCCGTGAGTTTAAAAACAAACTTTCTGGTGTAATGACAGATTCATTTCACTTTTGTCCCCAAAACATGTGAGCACCAAAATTGTCAAAGAACACTTAATATTTAGTAACACAGTAAGGAATGTGAAAATTAAGGAGGGGGAAAAGCGTTTTCAAAAGGAAATCTTTGGAGATCAGTTTACTGCAAATAAAACACACTAAGAACACTCCTGATACACATAAATACTAGCAACTAACAGGTACTTGAGAAATGGCAGCGCTCTAAACAATGAACATTAAATAAATTAAAGGAATTCCAGATACAAACGAAAAAACGGCAATTAAAAAATGAAACAGCCATCTCCACCAAGGTAACACAGACAGGATGAAGTGAACAAAAAGCAAATCGTTTTTTTTTTTCTGTTTGTTTTTTGCCAATGTTTTCATCAGGGCAGGTTTTTTCCTGTTTTTGTTTTAGCTTGCGTACATTAGATTTATTACCTTAATTCTTCTTTGACATTCTAAATATTAATATTTTACCCTTTAAAGAGAAGAGTCAGGAAAAGGGAAAAGAGCAAATCCTTGGAATTTAATGCCAGGTCCAGGCGGGCACGCGAATTACATGGAGAGCCATGTTATCTTTTTGTGCTTTCCTCGCTCCCTTTGCTTTTAAAAATCGACATGACCGACACGCGCACAGGGACACTCTGGAAAGCTCTCTTGAAGAGGATGACACAGCTAGCATCACATTTCCTTATTTTACAACTGCAACACAAAATGGCTTAAAAAAAAAAAACCGTCCTAAAAAAAGACAAAAGGTAGAAACTGTGCAATGTTAACAGTTACAACAAAACATTTCCCAGAGTTACAGTGTTTTGTTACAATAATACTTTGCAGGAACGTTCAGGTTTTCTGCCATAGGACTGCAGCTAAGGGGTCTGACAAGGAAATGGAACAACAAAAACGGTTCGGTCACCAGGTACATTTCAAGTCATAATTAAGCAGGTCTGCTACATAATGGTCAGCCAAAAAAAAAAAAAAATGTGTTCAAAGGTAAACATGATCACATTTTGTTCAAAAAGCTCCATCTCCAAAGAGTCGTTTTGTAAGAAAATCACGTGTAAAATATATCCTTGTATGGACTTCAAAAACTGATCATACAAAAAATTCTTGAAAAATAAATTAGATAATTAAAAATGTCTTTGCCAGCAGAGCTGGACATCAGGCTGTCCTCATGGAGCCATTATTATTGCTGCTTTTACTGTAACTCGGGTCATTTTTTTCTAGCCACATTTCCGCCAACTGCTGCGTCGACCCGTATGTGGAGGCTTTGGACCCCAAACACATTTTATACTGTCTGGGATCGAGATTGGGGTCACAGAAGACAGGGTGGTGGACGTGCACGACCCCCACTTCTTGGCTCCTGAAAGTCTTCAAACCTGCCTGGACCACCTTGTTGAAAAGATCCACGTCCTCAAGCCCCCAGCCTTGGATGGAGACGTCAAAGCCGCCCACTCGGACGAGATCTCCTTTGTAAATACAAGTGATGCCAAACCCATAGTTTCGCCAAAAGCCCGTTTTTTGAGTAAAGGCAAAATGGTTGTCACTGGGAACTTTCCCACTATAAACAATCTTTGGATCGTACTGGCTGAAGATGATGGGAAAATAGATTTGTTGGCCCAGCACTGTGTTTGCCCGACATCGCTGCAGGAATTCTGTAGTAAACACGAGGTCGACGTCACAGAAGAAAAGCAAAGATTCGTTATGAAACTGGGAAGACCCGACTTCCAGGGCCAGCGCGCGCGAGAACTCTCCAGACACGGGCAGGATCTGCATGTCGGCCTTGGGGTACTTGAGGCGGTAGTCCCTCATGAGCTCCACCTGCTTGGCCTTGTCGGGGTTGGAGTCGGAGTTGAAAAGCAGGACAACCAGCTTGACGTTCTGACTCGGGATGAGACACGTCTTCTCGAAGTTGCTCATAAACCTCACAAACATGTCAAAACGTCCCGACAGAGGGATCAAGATGTTGATCTTTTTGTCTTTGGGTTCCCTGTGCTCGCTCTTGACCCCGGGCAGCTGGAAGGGGACGAGCTTCTTCAGGGAGTTGGAGAGGAAGGACAAGGAGCCGGACTCGCGGTTGATCTTGCTGGCCAGCTCCTCTGCGTCCAGCTCCTCGTGCTCCACAAACTGGACGCGGCTGAAGGTTTGCTGCAGGTAGGCGTGCCTGCGCACGGGCACCGTCATCTTCTTCCCCTTGTGCTTCTTGTACAGCAGCAGGAGGTCCAGGATGTACTCGGCCCCGTACATGGGGTTGACCCGGCGGTAGCCATACTGGATCTCCTTGAAGTCGATGATGCGGCCTCTGGTCTTGGCGTTGACATTGATCATCTCCATGACCTGCATGACAATGTCGTCCAGGGCCTCCCTCTGCGCCGAGTCCATGCCCCGCCGCGGGGGCTGGCCATCGGCCGCCGAGTACAGGTACTTCCCCGTCAGAAACTCCCACTCCAGGATCTCCTCCCGCTGGCGGGGCTGGAAGCGCATGAAGGACGGGGGGACCCCCAGCTGCAGGTCTTCCTTGCGCGTCTCCGTGTTGCTGAACTTGCTCATGAGGACAATCTCGCGGTGCAGCTGGACCGTGCGGTGCCGCAGCTCGGCGATTTTGCGGCTGAGCACGTAGCTGTGCAGCCGGTACTGGTAGGGCGGGTTTTTGTTGGGGTGCAGCGTGATGGCTCGGTGGATTTTGCTGTTATGGAGATCTCTAATGTATCCCTTTTTGTTCTGCTCGTAATTCTCATAAAAAAGCTGCTGCATCTGTTAAGAAAGAAAGAGACGGCTATTTTAGTACTCCGTGACCGAGGGTGCCTGTCTTTACATTCCCTCACCTACCTACGCACTTTAAAAACCCCAAGCATCAGAAATCACTCTCCATGAGCCACAGCCTAAGCCCACGCTCCAGCAGTCCAACAAGATGAGGAGAATTAACAGATACAAACTACGTGAAGAACAAGGCTGCGTCAGCGACCCAAGCTGGCCAGTGCAGTTCTGCAGGCGGACAGAATTATCGGTCTTCCCATGGAGGAAAAATTGAAACTAGGAACACGACGTCGCTCGTGCACATGTGCACTTTGAAAGCCCTTCAAAGGTTCGCTCCTTCTGGTCAGGGTCTGCTCCATACGGGCCGGAGGGTCGGCCTGCTGACTTCCATCCAGGTCTCCACCAGCACAGACCCAACCCGAGGGGCGCTCAGAGCATCGTGCAAAGGGCGGGCAATGGCCAAGGGGCTTCATGACCCCACCTTGATCTCCCTGTCCTATCATAGGAATTTGGGAGGAACAAAAGTTTGCAGTCCATCGGTCAAAATGGAGTCTGCCCCCCAATGTAGTAGGGAATATACTCAGCTCCCTGGTACGTCTGCTTCCTACACCATCTGTGATCGAGGCCCTCTCGCGAAAGCAGCCATCTGTAAACCAGGGAGTGGGTCCTCACCAGACCGGGAGCAGGCCTGACACTCTGACCTTGAACTTCCAGCCTCCAGCGGTGTGAGGAGTGCATTTCTGCTGTTTATGCTGCCCAGTCTACAGTACTTTTGATCCAGCAGCCGGCAGACTGAGACAAAGCTCGCAGCGCTTGGGAACAAGGCAGATGGTCACTGCCAGTACCTCCAGGGTCCAGCTCAGGGCCCGACACATTCCAAGACTCAGCAGAGGGTTGATGAATTAATAAGGAGTCAAGTCTTTAAGCACAGCAAGTGTCAAGAAGTTGTTAATGATTTCACTGCAGAAGGTGACAGTGGAGGACTCACACGATACCATATGCTTGGTAACTAACATAACAGGACAAGGCTGGGTTACTCAGCCCAGGATGTATTTTTAAACGTAAACATTTAGAAGAAAAACATATATACCTTTTCAGTCAAAGGACATAGTCGTCCTTTGGTTTTTAGTGCCTAAAAGACCAAATGCTTACGTGCGCGTTTTACTCGTGGCTATGAGAACTCCACACACAGACAGTGAGCTCTGAGGGAAGTGCTCTGTAAAGGCACATGCCTGACTTCTCCCACAGGCTCAGCAGGACTCCATGTCCCCACACATTTCCCAGAATGCTTCACAGGCTGTGTGCGGCCACTGCCTTCCTAGGGACTGAGTCTAGGCAAGCTTTACCTGAAATCCAGGGTGTGTGTGCTAACGGCACAAATACAAAGAGAGAGAATGGCTGACTAACAGCTTGTGGAAGGAAGCCCACCATCCCCTGGAACCATCACAGACTGCGAATTTTAAACTATATAGTGAAATTGTAGGCACTTTCTGGCTAAACTCCAAAAGTCTGACTGGAAGGATTGCTGTTGTATTTTTTTTTTTTTAACAAAGAAGAAATCTATTGCAAGACTAGAGAGAGAGAGCGACAGCGAGAGCGAGAGAGAGAGAGATTGACTATGTGTGTGTTTGGGGAAGGGAGCACTTAATTTTATTAAAAATAAGGCCAAATCTATGCCCAGACTAGCTGGTGCCTGCACCCCATGTCACCCCAAAGGATTTACTTAGTACACTAATGCTGCCACAAGATAAATGTTTTAGACAAGGAAGCTATCCACCTGACAGACTAGATGGAATACACACCAGCTGTGACCTAAGAAAAACCTAAGTAAGTGCCAGTGAAATAGCTCCCTTTCCAAAAGGGCAGATGTGGACGATGTACATACTTTACAGGTGAGTAGACCGAGGAACAGTAAGGATGTACATGCACCCCCAAATAAGGGCATTAATGGAGATGCCAAGATGCTGCCCAAACCAGCTTCCAGTGGCCCCTTCTGGTCATGTTGGGCAACCCCTTTCTGCTTCTATACAAAGCTTTGGTGTAGAGGTGAGGAACCATTTTCTCTCCTCCTCGACATGAAGGGGGGAAATTTTAATTTCAGGGAAATAGTTTGAGAAATATGTTACAAATCACTTTCAAAATTAAGAACAGGGAATATAAAGTATAATTTGAAACAAAAAAATTTTAAACTTTTATTAAATTTATTGAGGTACCATTATATAAATTTCAGGTGTACAACTTTATGACACGACATCTGTACACACTATCGTGTGCTCACCACCTGAGGTCTGGTTTCCTTCTGTCACCTTGTATGTGACTCCTTTACCCTCTTTGTCCTCCCCACCCTTCTTCCCCTGTGGTCACCCCATTCTGTGTCTGTGAGTTTGTTTGTTTGTTCATTTATTCATTGTTTTATGTCCCACATATGAGTAAAATCACACGGTTCTTATCCTTTTCCATCTGACTTATTTCACTTAGCATGATACTCTCAAGGTCTATCTATGTTGTCACAAATGGCAGTGTTTCATCTTTTCTCATGGGCGCATAATATACTACATCTTCTTTATCCAATCGTCCATTGAAGGACACTTAGGTTGTTTTCATGGCTTGGCTATTGTGAATAACGCTGCAATAAACACAAGGGTGCAGATATCTTTTATGAATAAGTGTTTTCAACTTTGAGGGTAGATACTCAGAAGATGGACTGCTGGGTTGTATGGTAGCTCTATTCTTAATTTTTTGAGGAATCTTCATAATATCTTCCGTAGTGGCTGCACCAATTTACAATACCACCAAAGGTGAACAGAGATTCCCTTTTCTCCACATCCTCGCCAACACTTGTCATCAAAGCAAAAATTTCCATGAGATATTAGAGGCCAGCTTAGAGAAGAATGATCCAGAAATCATCTGTAACTCCTGAAATGGAGGCAGGAGAGACACAATGGAGAAGTGACCGCCGGTGTCTGGCCCAGGCTCACACTCGGCCATCTCCAGATCCCACCCAACCAGCCCCTGGTCGTGAGGCTGTGAGTCCCCTTTGCACTTTCATCCCATGTCACCCAGTTGCCTGTTCCCATCAACTGACGTCAGCACTTCCGGATCTCACTTCTACCTTTGTAGTATTTCAGGCATTTGCATTTGACTTTGGAATCCCTTGAAAAGTTCTTCTCAAATGATCTTTGTTTGTTTTTACCTTGACTAGTTTCGAGCTTCTCTGCTGTCATTTGGGTTTTTCCTACCTTTCTGTTTCTCTCTTTAAGGATGCCTGTGGCAGTTAAGGAAGCACACCGTGGGTGAGATGGAACGGAACCACTTTGCTCTCAGGCACTCGAACGAGAAATAGTTGGATCCTTAAGCTGGATGCCTACATCTTCCATCTACTGTCCCTCACTCATATTACAGCTAATTCACTGCTCACTACAGGGATCTCCATTAATCAGGTAAGATTTCATTTCGGAAGTCCAGGTGATTTCCTGAATTCAACAGTAATGAAGTCCCCAATCCTTAAGCGGTAGAATCCTGACTAAAGTAAGTCAAAATAAAACTGGTACGAGAAATAAAGCTATTATTTCTCTGGAAGAAGGTTTAGAATGTAACAATTTAAAAAATAAGGCTAAGAAATAAGACTACACATTTAATGCTTTTATGCTGGTCATAAGCTGTAAGATCTCAGACAAGTCACTTGAATTTGCTGGGTCTCAAATTTTTCTCATTCATAAAATGGCTGTATTGTACTGGAGGTTCCTTCAAGGTGAAGAATACTAAGACTTTCTGTGCCAACTTTAGGGTCAGTCACAGAGAATCCTAATGTCATGCCCCATGTCCTTCCTTCCACTCGTCCATTCTGACGGTTGAAGGTGTAGCAACCGGATTCAACTTTCTTTGTATCCAAATGTATTTGGAGTATTAAAGGGTAACAACACATCCCAATTAACTGTTTCCATCCTATAAAAACAAGCCTCCAATTCTCTATAAATAGTTTAAGGATATGAGATTCATAACAGTTCATTTTAATAATTCCAGGGGTAAGAAATATGTAATGTTTTTTGTTATAAAAATAGTTTGAGTACCAAATTTAGAATTTAAGAGGATTTTATTATTGTAAAGTGTCTCAATAATCTATAATTTGGCACATTCTTTGGAGGAATGTTACAAAATGGAAAGTTAAAAAGTACTGCAGAAGAGAACACACCATGCATACGGGTTATTTAATAATCAAAGTTATTCCTTGCTTAAAACACACTGAAAAAGCTTTTCTAAGATGCAAACAGTCCCGCTGATGGCTTCCTTTAGCATCCAGCACCCGTAACAGTCCTAATCTTTGTTCTAACAAGTACCCCCATAATCCTGGCCTCCAGCAAAGGATCCCTATCGTAAATCTGAGAGAGGCTAATAAACATCAAGGTCACGACATTCCCAGGAACTTCTAGTCCAGCTGGGAATAACCATCAACTGCCCACATCTAATCTTCAGTTAACAAATGTCTTCTCTGGCCTCATTAGCAAATGTCTTCCTTGTCCTCTGTAACGAAGGCCATTCTCTTCCCATTAACTGCTTACATTAACATCTGTCATTAAGTACCTATTTCAATCACATCAACAGCCTATCACGGCTCTGGACCGACAGCTATTTCCAGTTCTGATTTATACATCGTTTCGATTCATTACAGAGAATTCCTATCCTTTCTTCCTGAAAAACTGGCTCAATGAAAAATATGGGTTGCCTAAATGTCAAGACAGCACAACTGGTGGTGGTTTCAAATAACCATATTGACAAGTTTTGAATATTTAAATTAACATTCTCAGATGCCTCCAGGTAGGATTTCCAGATAATTTATTGTCTGAAGCAGGACCTTTTGAGATGAAAAAAAGAAATCTGTTAATAATTAGGCCAAGACCACAGGCATACACGGGGCCTGTCCCCAGCACTTAGGGACATGTGGTTACCCTCTGTGTCCCTGTTAGGTCCCTCCTAATTAGTTTTGTGTGTGCTTTGCA